GGAAGGTCCCGGCGGCGGGGGCTGGCCGGTACCCGGGGGCCGGGGCGCTCTCCCCGAACTGGAACTGGTTGGACTCTGCTGCGGCCATCGCTGCGCGACCCCAGTGCACCGCCCGGGAGGGGGACGCCCTCTAGTTATACAGGCCCCGGACCGAGGGAGGGGGCCGGGCCGGGCCGGGGGTGGCGGCGCGATCAAAGAGGGGGACGCGGGGAGGCCCGTGTCTCCTCCGGGTGCGAGCCCGCCCCAGCCCCGCCAGACGCTGTGGGGAATAATCGTTTCCGCTGATCGTGGGATGGAGGAAGGGAGGCGTGAACTTGGGTCCGGGCCCCCTCGCGCCCCCTCCCCCGTCCATCCGCCCAGCCACCCACCGCAATCAACATTCCCCAGAGAAGGGTTGCTGGGGAGGGGCAGTCCAGAGGGGCCTGAGTGCGTGAGGTGACTGCGGGCAGAGCCTCTTTCCTGGGGGTCCGATCGCCCTCCCGGATTGGCCGAGGGCCTTTGCCTGCCGTATTTCTCGCTTTCCCTCCAGTCGTCATCAAAGGTATGTATTTATTCCCCCCTGCTATGTGCTAGACCCTGTACCAGGTTTGTTAAACAGCCCAGCCCCTGGCCTCTGCTAGCCTCCCTAACACATCCTGAGTCAGAAGGAGGGGGCGCAGATAAAGGGACCTCAGATAAAGGGGGCAGTAAACTCATCCTGCAAGGTCCGTTTGGGTACCCTAAGCTGGCAGGGTTGAAAATGGTTCCGCATTTAGCAGACAAGCAAGCGGTGTAGCCTTTCTAGAGCTACCCGACAATGCCCAGGCCCTGTATGACTGAAAGGGGGGACGTGAAAGCTACTCTATGAGGTTTCCACTCTCTGAAGAAATCACCAGTCCTTCCTCTGCCCTTTGGGCCTCATTTAAGGCTCCATTTCATCCTGATTTGTAGACAGTTACGGTTTATGTGTCTGCTTCTCCTACTAGATTACAAAGTCCTCGAGAGCAGGAGCCCATTTCTCTCATTCATTCGTCTGCTCAAGTGTATTTTCTAGTTTGTACATTTACTATGTAAAAGGCACCATGCTGGACTCTCCTTACCTGTGTGTTGAATTGGATGTCACTGAGTTAGCTTTATAGAGAGAGAAACCCTACTGGGATTGCTCCATGTGACTCACTCGTCAGGTGCAGAGGACCAGGTCTTCTGGCTCCCAGCCCCTGCCCCCTGATTTCACACGGGCCATTTACCGTCACTGACTCAAGTGGGCCCTTTAATGGGAGAATCTTTCCAAGCACAGTCCCCATTCTGTCTACCTCCCTTCTACAATGCTAATAGACAACCTCAGGAAAAGCATGGATGTTTCATCCTGGATGTACATCCCAGGTGTTGAAGTAGAAAGTATTCTTGGGACTGCTCCAAAGAGGAGTTCTGGGTTAGATTCTCTGCCGGTGGGGCTGGCAGGTTACTTGGTCAGGACTCTGGTGCAGATGCCCTAAGCAGGCCCTGACAATACTCTTCCCTGTTCTTCTATCCACCTTCCACCCCTTCTTCTTTCTGTATCTCCCTTCCTCTTCTGTTATTCTTTTGCCAGGTCACTGGGATTTTCAGAAAGGGGATATATGGGATGAGAGACCAGATCTTCTGTTTTTCTTTCCTTCATTAACTCAGAAAACATTAAGTGTCACGGTGCTAGGCATGCTTCATGAGTATTATCTCAACTGATCCTGTAAAGTAAGCACTATTATCCCAGTTCTACAGATCAGGAAATATTCGACAATACAGAGAAAGGCCCAAATTACTCCAAAGCCACTGTACCAAGCTGGCCTCCAGACATGACCTGTGGTCACTGCTGAGCTTCCCCTGCACCGCCAGCAGGACGGTGAAGTCCTGGCCCCTCTCCAGTCGTGGAGGTGGTTGTCTTTCAGGCACATTGGGCTCATTAGGTCACAGGAAGGGGTGATGGAGGCCAGACCTCTGGGCCCGAGTTGGCTGCTATAGCTGTACAGCACTGGGCTGCTAACCGAAAGGTTGACGGTTTGAATCCACCAGCTGCTCTGTGAGAGAAAGATGTGGCAGTCTGCTTCCATAAAGATTTACAGCCTTGGGAACCCTGTGGGGCAATTCTTCTCTATCCTATAAGGTTGCTATTGAGTTGGAATCCAGTGAACTACAACGGGTTTGGTTTTGGTATTCTTTGGTTCAAGGGTCCACCTCAATGGCAACTAATAACAATCTTACCAGAAAAAAAAAACAGTTGCTGTCAAGTCAGCTCTGACTCATGGCAAACCCATGTGTGTCAGAGTAGAACTGGGCTCCATAGTGTTTTCAATCACTGATTTTTCAGAAGTAGATTGCCAGGACTTTCTTCCAGGCACCTGTGGATGGACTCACACTTCCAGCCTTTGGGATAGCAAACGAGCCCATTACCGTTCGTACCACCCGGGAACTCCACCACTAGTCTTAAAAGACAGGAGGAAAAAAAAAAAAAGAAACCCAACAGCCTTACATGTTTCAATTACTTTCCCAAATCTTCACCAGCTTCCATTGTGACTAGTCAGTTAACTAGTCTCCAAACGTCCATTTTCCCTGGCTACTGCAGAACAGGCTGGGGAAACCAGAGGTTTGCCAGTTGCCAGTGAGCTTCCCGGCCAGAGATGGCCAACAACCAGAAACTCTGCCAGGGCCAGGGCTCCTGGGGATTCTCCAGCTTGTTATGTAGAAATTCCCAGAGTCCTCTGTCCCAGCGTCATTCCTGTCCGCTGTCTGCTCACTGTGAGGGGACGCCGACGCTGCCTGTTTGCAGTAGGCCAGGGAAAATGGCCTGTGGACAGTAAGGCGTTAATGGGAGCTCGCAATGGTTTGGGGAAGCAATCTAAACGTGAGGCCATCTTTTCTCTGTAACGACTGGTGGTCAGAAATTTCCGCCCTCAACTTGGGGTTTGAGAATCCTCCATACTGACGAAGCGGACATTATTTTCCTCATGACCATTTTCCTGAGAGTTTAATGTTGTCTTATGAACTTTGATATTGAAATAAGATTTCAGCCTCTTCCATACTCTCCACGCTTTATCTATGGTAAAGTTTTAATTGCATGCGCTTGTGTGTGCCTAAAAAATCATATGTGAGCACACAGCGGAAACCAAGGGCCGAATTAGGAGTTAAGGATTGGAGAGGGAGAATTTTATTTTTATTTTATACCCTTTGGTGCTCCTTTATTACTATTTTTTAATCACGCGCCTGTATTCTCATAATAAGTGTATTTTTTAAACCCAGTTTTTTGACGGGGGCGGTAGTGGTTCAGTGGTGGAATTCTCGCCCACCGTGAAGGAGACCCGGGTTCGATTCCCAGCCAATACACGTCATGCACGGCCACTACCCCTCTGTCCGGGTTGCTGTGATGCTAAACGGGTTTCAGTGGAGCTTCCATACTAAGAAAGACTTGGAAGAAAGGCCTGTTGGTCTACTTCTAAAAATCCGCCAGTGAAAACCCTATGGATCGCAACGGTCTGATCTGCAACCGATCGTGGATGGCACAGGACCGGGCAGCGTTTTGTTCTGTTGTGCTTGGGGTCACCATGAGTCCGGGGCAGACTCAACAACAACCACAGCCACAACTCGTTTTTTGATGACTCAGTGCAATGTGGTATCTTGATTGGATCCTGGAAAAGAAAAAGTACACAGTGGAAAATTGGTGAAATCTGAGTAAAGTTTGCAGTTTAGATCTTTTTTAAAAGATCGTTTTAAAAACTTGAAGCAATATGTGAGCAGTGATATTTCCTCTGTGCTATACAAATAGTTGAAAGTTAATTAGCAGTTTAAATAGTAATGCTGTCAGTCTCCTTCAAACAAACGAGCAAAAGACTTTGAAGCAGAGGAGGCAATTAATGTATCTGGAAGGAGCTATTGCTTTACCATGGGACTCAGTTTCCCAGTTCTCTTGGGATGCTTGTGACCAGGCTTGGGGAGAGGTAAGTCTCTGCCAAAGCTCTGCTGGTACATTCCCTCCTGTCAGTGAAATTAACGTTGTTTTCTACCTCTCTCTTTTTGAAAAGCACACAAAATAATAAGTGGTTTTCCAAATGGTTAACTCACTCAGCTGCTAACAGAAAGGTTGGAGGCTCAGTCCACCCAGAAGTACCTTGGAAGAAAGGCCTGGCAATCTACTTCTGAAAAATCAGCCATTGAAAACCCTAGGGAGCATAGTTCTACTCTGACATTTATGGGGTCACCATGAGTTGGAGTTCACTCGACGGCAACTGGTTTTTCACTAAGTGCAAGTCCTGTATCCCTTACTCAATTATCCTGTGGCAAACATATAGTGAGGACAGTAAAACCCACGAAAGCTGGAACCTTTGTGAGGCGGAAACCTGCCAGAGAAGGAAAACTCAAATATTTTCCACTAACAGAGTGTGACAGAAAAGTGGTCAGACAACACTTTCAAAGGCAGACGGCTTTCGAGAGTCGGGAAAACAAGGCAGCCCCGTCAAGTTTCCCAGGTTTCAACGTATCTTTTTATTCTTCTATATCCATTTCCCCAACTGGAAAATGGAAAGGGCTTGTTCTTGGCAATATCCTAAGAAATAATTATTGCAAGTTATTTCCCCAAGATAAATAATCCGTGACGTTTAACTACATTTTAAATAGGCTTACAGAAGCAAGTCCGTAGCAAGCTGAAGCCCAAGGTTAGCTGAAGACAGTGATCACTGAGGTTAAGGTCTGGATGCCCCCTCACCAACGCCTGGGCTCACTTGCCATTGATTTTGCTGAGAGCTTTAGGCCATTGTTTATATTTGGTCTATTGGTAACATCTGTTGAAACAGACACAAAGGAGGTAAGGTAAAAGACTTTCCTCAGAGAGCTTCTGGTACAGTGGGGGAAGGCTGGTAAATACACGTAAAAGTGCAGGAGGAAA